TTGAGGATAAGTCATGATCTCCACAAGAATGATCTCTTAGCTGCGATAAAGTAGCCTTGAGGATAAGTCATGATCTCCACAAGAATGATCTCTTAGCTGCTATAAAGTAGCCCCAATCTGTAGGAGACAAGAGAAGAAGGTCACGCCCCACAAACACTTACAGAGGACAGATCGACGACCGGAGACCACTCCTTTGATTCTCCATTCTCTCAAAACTTGTATCTCTATTCTCTATACCTCTGAATTAATAAAATACCCGGCAACTGAAGCCATTGAAGAGTGGACATAGGTCGAATTGACCGAACCACTATAAATTGTGTCTTCTTTAATTCTTTCATCGATTTCACTGCATTTATTATCTACACTTGACAGATGGTGTGCAAAACCATTTTTGTGCATCATCAAGGTGCACAAACAACGCCACGCTACTAATAGAAAGAAGAATCCACCAATTATTCCAAACAACTTAATTTACTTGCAGAAAAACACCAAGCCAGTGGATCAAAACAAAACAAAACAAAACAAATAAGACATCGATAAAGAATGATCAAAAGAAATTACCACTCTTGAAACTAAAAGAATAAAGTCCTAAAGCTTTCAGTCACTGAACCTCACACAACTATTTAGCTAGAATTTTTACTCAATTTCAATGATAGATCTCCGGCCTTTAATCTTATTCTGAACATTGAAAAAAAAGATTAAGGAAAATGCTCTAATATCAAAGAAAAATTGTAAGGGTTTTGTTTACCTTTGCTTCCATTTGATGCAGAATCAACAATGGGCCCAAATCATTTTTTGTTGGCATAGGGATAATGAGTTCTGAAGATGACTTTTGTTCTAGTGTGAAGTTTGGATGTTAGCGGACTATCTAGGCTTTTGTTTAACTCCTCAAGAGAAATTGAATGCAATCGACTTTACCCACTCACTCCGCAGCAGAATTGTTGTTCGTCAACACTAACCACTAAAGAATAAGATTTGATTCATCCCAAGTGTTTTGGTTTTCAATAAGGAAGGACATTTAGGTCTTTACTAGTAAGGTACAAAGGGCTTTCTCTTCTTGTTCTTTATCAACAAAAGCAAGCCAATGCACAGGAACACATACAAACAGTCACACAAACATGAGCCCAAATTTGTTTACACATACATATGAAGGCTCTTTGTCGTAGCATCTTCTTAGTGCAACAACAATGATACAATATCACCGAAAGAGCACGCTAGCCCTGTTTATTGTACAAAGATTGCAAATGAATCAAACAACAGTCATCACAACGCCTTCCTTTGAAACGAATTTGTATGAAATGCATGGGTGGTAGTCTCATTGTGGTCTGTATGACTATAAAGACGAGTGTTCATGTTCTTTAGCAATTGTCGATTATGCAATCCACCCTGGACAATTGTGCAGAATGGAGTTGTTGTTGTTGACAATAGAGGGCAGCTGTGACACCCCAATTGTCAGAGGTCCTGTTTAACCCGTTACTTTGAGTTTCTTGAAAACTAGGAATGGCTTTTTGACCAACTGGGCTTTGGTTCAATAGTATTCTTTGTCTTGTAAAGATTTTGGCTTCCTGAGGTCAAAGTTTCAAGTCTCTCTCCAAGAAAAGAAAAAAAAAAAAGAATTCTGACCTTTTACACTACCAATATATGCATCTTAAATCTTTCCATTCACCTTTTGTGGACAAGTTTGGGTCATGTTAAACAAATTTACCCTTTGTTTTTTTGGGCTTAGCAGGTTAAATAAGGGGGTTTGGGGTTGAACATTCTGAGATAAAATTACTAGATAAATGTCACATGAACCAAATAGAGATTGAATGATGTAACACGCAAATGAACAAAATTTTATTTATAATTTGAAAATAGAGGAACAACAATGCAAAGTAACAGAAGTGGTAACTGTAATCAAATGCTTCACAAAATGATATATCAGGCTACTGTGGCTGCACACACAACAAGCAACCCAGAGAGGATTATACTGGTGGAGATGGATCTGGCTGCTCTATCGCGTCAGTGTCATGTCGAGCGAACCAATTTTTGATGGTGGGAATGAGGGTAATCACCTTGGTTACTCCATTGTAGACCCAATAATATACACGTTTAATCATATTCCGTGCAAGTACTATTAATACAACAAAAATGAGTTGTCTAGGGAAGCGAGGGAAGAGAATAGATGCCAATGAGACCGAAGAAAGAGTTCCAGAGACGAGAACAACATGGTCAAAGATTTGATAGTATTTTGCAACACGAGTTTGCATTTGATTCATTATTCCAATGGCAAGGCAGTAGATGCATTTGGCTAGACCAAAACACCAGATGTTTATAGGTCGAGTTTCAAATGGATCCTCACTTTTGGCTTGACACTTGATGGCGACGAGGGCAAGTAGCAATGGCACCAGATCTCGTGGCTTGGAGGAGACCATTTGGAATTTTGCATGTTTCCACTGTGACAAGAATGAATTCAAATTGTTTTAGCCTACAATTTTGAGAAAAGAAGATGCAGGGCCTCTTTTGAAAACCAATAATTAAACGTAAATAAAAACTCCAAACAGGTTTACTTTATACACTGGGCTTTCGATAGACAGAAAAATAGAGTTTTCAGTCCCCAAAACCAATTAGATTTGACTAATGTTGAGTTAATGAATCTTTTAATAAGGAAGTTGAATTGATGAAAATTATTTTCAAAATGTAGAATATGACTACAAATGTATCATATATATTTATGCAGGCACATAAATAAAGTGCAATTTCAACTATTTGGGAACAAGTAATGGAACAGGACATGTTCATGTAAGCTACACCCCAGTTAAGATGATATGCTGGTGATTTAGCTGCGGAGAAATAGGATCTCAAAATGACATCCCCAGGTAGTAGCACCTCAACCAACACAGATCCTCCACTGAGGAGGCATCGACGAGCTCAACATCCAATCTTTTCTGGGAATAAGATAATTAAGTAAAGTAATGAACATTGGTCAAAACCCAAAAACTACATCAGCTCTGGACACATATATAGATACAATGCTCAAGAACAACACAAAAACTACATCTGAGCTTCTGAAAATTTACATGAAAAATCAGGCTCATATCCGCAATTCCATCCAGAAGAAGCTTAGGCAGAGATCAGAAATATTAATATCACAAATTTTTATATCTAGCCACATAAATAAAGTGAAAACCGTGACTCAGGTGAGGACTTTAATTCCTCATTTACATCAATAAAGGCGAGGCAAGTTAACTCTGACTAACGAACAGTGGTGACGTGTTGGGCAGTAGTTTTGGTCGGAGGGCATTCGGAATAATACTGCATTACTAGAGTTGTCAATGCATTTTTTAAATATTTTACTAAAAAAATAATGTTCTCTTTATCAATTGAGCAAAGGTTGACGTGGTTATTCTAATATTACTCTCTAGTAATTTTAATTCAAAAAGAATATTGTCTTTATTTTTGAATTAAAATTACTAGAGAGTAATATTGAAAATAAACAAAATAGGTTGCTGACATCATGCATTTCCGTTAATTTTCTTAACGGATTTAGACGGAGGGGGTCTATGTGAAACAAAATTCAAATGGCAAGGATGTCTGGGTCAATTTTGAAAAGTCAAGGAGTGTTTGTGTAATATTGTTAAACCTCAGGGGGTGTCTGTGTTTTTTGCCCAAAATATTATAATGAAATTGTTTTTCTCTTCAAAAAGTTACTTAAAAACATGCTACGGTTCGGTAGCTAAGTGAGTTCTCAAAAGATTGTCAGCAAAAGACAAGAGTAGTGGAGCTTTCCTCCTCCTCTTCCTAGGTGCCTTTTTTTCGGGGACCCCAAAAAATGAGTGTTATTTTCACATCCTGAAGCTAATCACCAAGATAATCATGTATGTATGTCCTTTAACTGGGTTGTAGATGAGTTTAAGACGGCATCCTCCATGCTTGTTTGCCAAAGATTGAGAGGAATGCTCTTGATTTATGTGGCAAGATACAAAATTATGATTTGTTTATATACATTTGTAGTCGAACGTTACATTCTGAAAATATCCATACTAGCATTGCATCTTTCTATGTTTAAATAACCAAATTACCCTCCAATAAATCATGTAAATTTCCCTATTTTTGCAAAAAATTACAATAACCACGTCAACTTTGCTCAATTGATAAAGAGAACATTATTTTTTTAGTAAAATATTTAAAAAACGCGTTGACAACTCTATCAATGCAGTGTTATTCCAAATGTCCAAAAACCAATATATGCATTTTGTCTCTTTATCTGTATGTGTTATACCCCTTCAATTTTTTCAAAATTTATCAATTTGTTTACAAAAAACTTTCCCTTGCAACACACGTTTTGCACGGCTAGTATTAGTATAAATAAAAATACATTCATAAGTTAGGCAACCATTTGCTTCAAGAGTATAAGCGACTTTTGGATGTTTGAGTCTAGTCATAAGCCAACATTGGAAGACTTTTTTAATTTATTTGGACAATTCAAATGAGGTCCTGCACTTTTTTTTTGACCAAAGTTGTATTCTAAAACTACTACATTTTATTTTTTTTTATAGTGGAAGCAAGTTCGAATCATCTCTTCCAAGTCATGAGCTCTGCAAATATCTGGTGCCATTACTATTTGTCATCGTCGCCACGAAGTATCGAGCCAAAAATGAGGATCCATTTGAGGCACGCCCGATAAACATGTGGTGCTTTGTTATAGCGTCACTCATCTACGGACTTGCATTGGGAATAAGGAAACAAAATAAAATCTGTGTTGCAAAATACTTGCAAATCATAGACCATGTTATTTTCATCTCTGGAGCTCTTTCTTCTATCTCATTACTATCGGTCCCCCTCCCACGCTGCCTCGGGTTCCTGAGTTTTGGTGTAATGCCATTTCTGCTAATAATAATAGGATGGAATAAACTAAAGCATGGATTTTGTTGGCTCTATGACAGAGCAACCGATCGGTTTACCTTCATTCGAGATACTCGGGATTGGTTCACCCAAGGCAACATGGCAGCGCAGCCAAATCCATCGCCATGAGTGTAATCCTCTCCGCTCATCCTCATGGTGTTGCAATCATTCAGTTTGAAGTGTTTTTATTAGACTCGTCGCTCCTAAATCGTTCTTGTACTTGCTTTTGAGCTGATTAGCTTCGTCTTGTTTTTTACCAATTGTCTTGTTTACCAAAAAATTAGATTTACAATATTGTCCAAAAATATCCCGAGATATACTCTCAAGACTCGAGAACTAATCATGATTCAATTGTCTCGTCTTTTGTTTTCTTTATATTGTACTAATAATTAGGTTGGACAACTTTGTTCACTTTTGTTTTGATTGATCCTTGTTCTGTTGTTTTTTTCCAGTTATTAAATTTGTTTTGTCTTAGCAAAAAAAAAAGAAAGAGTGTGTTTGGCATTGATCAAATGGACTTTTGGGGTCATAGAAGTCCGTTTTGAAAAAAATTGGTCTGTTTCATGAGAGATTTGATTCGAGATGGACTTTCACCAAAAGACTATCTCCTAAATGCCCATTTTAAAGATGGGATTTTCAGTCTTCAATTTGGAATTTGGTGTATGTGTAAGTTTCAAAATAAATGGGCGACAACAGGTGGTGGTGAGTTGTTGTAGTGGGTGGCGGTGGACAACAATGGTGGTGGTGGGCGCTGATGGTGGGTGACGGTGGTAGTGTGATGCTGGTGGTATTGATAATAAATAGGAAAATGAGATGACAATGATGGTGGGTGGTGAAGGTAGACGACAGTGGTACAATCGATGATGGGTGACGATGATGGTGATTGTGGTGGGGCAATCGGGGTGGAGGTGGGGTAGTGCCAATGGTAGGGGTGGAGGTGGTGGGGTGGTGGTGACGATAGTGGTGGTAATGGTGGTAGTGATGTTTGTGGGGCGGTGGGAGTGGTGGTGGTAGAGTGTGGCAGCGATGGTGATATTGGTGGTGGTGGTGGGGGTGGTGGTAACGGGGATGATGATGGTGAGTTGGTAAGGTAATGAGGTGATGAGGCAGTAAGGTAGTGGGGCTGTGAGGGTAGTGGTGGTGGTGGTTGTTAGGGCAGAGGTAGTGGTGGGGTAGTGGCGGTGCTAGTTGTGAGGGTGATGGGGGCAATGACAGTGGTGGGGCGATGGACGTGGTGGTGGGACTTATAAATTTTGTTAAAGCAGTCATCTCAAATCCTTTCAGTAGTCTCAGTAAGTCTGCTCAGCAAGGCAGCATTGATGCCTATGCCGCTATGGTATGCATTGTGTTCCATTTATCAATGTATTATTTTTTATTTTTTTTGTGTTTTCAATGTATTTATTTATTTGTTTAGTTTTCAGTTTTTTGCTACTTAAAGAGAAGTGCTAATCTCACTGTTTTTTCCCCCTTTTTTTGTGCTTATGGACCCCTATAGATCCCCTGCTTCATCACTTATCACAGAATGCAGACAGAAGCAGAAATAGGAGAATGTACCCAATAGATTGACATGTTTGTCACTTTTTTTTGCCCCTTTTTTTGAGTTACTGATGGTGCTGGAAAGATATTTTTCCCTCTCAGGTCATGGAATTGAACTTGTTCTGCCCAAGAAGTTGGAGCTCCAAAACAAGCTCCGGAAGGGTCCAACTAGGGATGAAGTTTTTTTTCCGGAAGAATTTGATGTTTGACCTTTTTCTCCAAATAGGAACATATGATTCTTAAAGAATTCTAATGGTTGGTCGGTCTCATGGTTGCTACTAGTCGGAAAAAGAATTCTAATTCAATTAGAATCATGTACCTCCTAACAATTTTGACCCTATTGTACTCTTGTTGATTGACTGGTCTTTTGCATTTTTGGAGGTAAAAATCTGTACACAACACAGTACCTGTAACGGAGTTTGGGACAGACAAATGACTTGCAGTGTTATCGTGTTTAAAGAGATTAATTTGGGGACCTTAATCTACATCATATTCTTTGAACAGATGAGTATTTATCGTCGCTCTAGATCTGACGTTTGACTGACTCGCAATTCTGTTCGGTCAAAAAAACCTCATTTTACACCATGCATCCAAAGACAGGTGCATTGTTACCATTATGGAATCATGGATCAATACAAGTTGATAAACGGCCAAAGAAGAAGAGTTCATAATTAACAATCCTGTTAGTGCTTACTATCAAAATATGATTCAAAAATATTAAAAATTTAAACATTTAAAAACTTCACAAATTTATCTTAGAAAATTGAATTCTCAACGTATAAAAGTACAACTATAAATTTTCATCTATTTTAATTCAATGGTATAAAGTTTATTTCAAATTTTTTTCCTCTCCCAAAATATTAATTTTTTTGCACGATTGTAATGCTAAACAACTCAATCATTACTCTCTTTAATGTCAAACAATCTCATCAATCCACACTTGTCTCTCTCTCTCTCTCTCTCTCTTCATTTTAATTTATATTGCATAATTAAAAAAACTAAATTATTATTTAAAATACAAATACTGCAAGATCAGTTCGATTTTTGATATTGTAGTCTCTTAGGTCAAGGGGTCAATAGGCCTATCATTGAAACCTCACTGGCTGAAATCACAAGTTCACAAAAGGTGGAGAGCAGGGTAAAGATTATATTTCCATAACAATATAGTGCTTATTCTGCCATTTATCTTCCTGTGATCAGCAGGTACTACACAAAGCAACAAGACAACCATCTAGGCCACTTGTTGTCATGTCCTTAGGACGACAACAGCTTAAATAGACCCACCTAATTTTGTGTGTCACACAAGTCATCAATTCTTCAGTTTCATCGGAGAGTAAAGAAAACAATTCTCTAAGACCATCTAACCGGTTTAAGATGTCCGACTAATTTTTGTGTGGGCAGCAACTAATATGTGCACAACTACAGAAAGGCCATCCCAAAAGCATCGTAACTAAAATTGTTCTAACTCTGGTTGTTTTTATGTGAAATTAGCATGGGCTTGGGTTAGGGAGCATGGACAAGTAAATGAAACAGCTTCAACAATATGGCAGCAACATATTACCCCAAGTGCTCTACTGGAAAATCCTAAAGGATGCTCTGCCTATGGACTCCAGATATATGAAATTGGGAATATCTTTGGCAAGTAGATGTGTTCTTTGTTACAAACATTCAGAAATTGTGGACCACCTTTTTATTCATTTTGATTTTGCTAAAACATTTTGGACTGTTGTTTCTTCAGTTACGGGTTTCCAATTATACCAGGTGAGGATCCACTGACAAGGTTCCTAAAAATCTCAAAGATATTCAAGAATCAGTCACTAAGCCATGGTCTTATTAGAGGTGTGCCTCTTATCATTTTTTGGCAATTATGGAAGGAAAGATGCAGGCGTATGTTTGTAGGGGTTCGGCTACATTCTTCTAGCATTGTCACTTAGGCCTGTTTTGTATGTTTTTTAGGAGGGATTTGAATTGGCTAGTCCAAACTCTTTCAAACCTAAAGATGGGGTTCAACATTTATTAATTTTGTTCATACTCATGTTTGGTATGTACATCAATATATGACTATTATGATAATATATTTGTATATAAATGACTATTGTGCCCCCTTAATCAATTTAATCCAAACATAAGTATGGATATATGAGGGGTATAAATGTCATTTAAATGTTAAACTCATTAACTCACGTATAAAACCCACCTCCTATGGGTTTCATGAAACCCATGAACTTAAGTTTCATGATTGGGCCTAAACCGGGCTATGTTTCAAAGTCTGGACTAAATTTATATTTCTCAAACATGGATTTGAGGGGTTTATTCCCCAACCCAGGTTTCAAAACCCCTTCAAACAGACCCTAGTAAGACACCGTGCAATGTAGGGCCTATTGTTAAAATAAAATCATGAAAAAATCAAAAGATAACATATGATGTTATATAAGATAAATTCAGAACAATAAACTAAAATAAAATTTTATGTCAACTCAATTTGTTTATATTTACCACGATCATATATACATTCTTTTTATAGTTAATTAGGTTAATAACTCTCCTTTGGTGTGTAAATTAATTTTAATCATACCGAATTTTTAGTATAAAAAAAGGTCTTTCGATTTTTGAAAAAATTTGCATGCAGGTTCTGTGTTGGTGCGAATGTTAAAGGATTGGTTAGTTACTGGTTTTTTATTCTCCATTTTGCTTTCATCACATGATTTCAGTTTAAAATTATGGATCTTAAAATTTATTAGAACTTACTACTTATTCAATGGTTGTGATTATCAACTACACATTTTTAAGTGTAAATAACATTTTCCATATCTTAAAATTTCTGAAATTATTTTTATTTACCTCCATTTCTTAATTTAATTCGTCAATGCAATCAATTTTTTTTGTCAATTTTTCATCAAAACAAATGGAAAAGAAAACCACTAAATTTGTTTAAATTTATTCCGTAAATTTTCTTAATCTTCCTTTGTTATAATAGAAATTATGCATAATAAATTGGGTATTAAGATTTTGAAAATAAAATTGAGGGAATAAATTAGAACTCAAAAACAATAGTAGACAAAATAAACATTTATTCCAACTATTCTAATACAAACTCAAGTTTGGACTGATTCAACCGCCAGAAAAACATTGTCAATGTCAGTATTATTTTAATTGGAGTATTGATCATGCTTTGCTTACTGAAATTGTTGAGCTTAAAAATCATCCAAAATGAAATAATATATCTGTTAAATTTTAATATATATGTATTGCAATGGTCAAAACTCTATAGTACTTGTAATAGAAGGAACATCCTTAATTATATGAATTTTATAAAAAAAATTATGATTTAACTAATTAATATAAAAACACATGTAGTCTGGACTCTAAAAAAACTTTTAGCAGTAGATTCAAAAATTTTTATAATTTATTATTAATTTATGATTTTTTTCCTAAAACAAGAAAAGCGGAGATTTGAGACTCTAAAAGATGGATGAAATTCGACTTAAGTTTGTGATTCTTTCCTAATTTATGAATTTTTATTTCTATTTTGTTTTGTTTTTAAAACTAGCTAAGCTTGCTAAGCGGAGATTTGAGACTCTAAAAGATGGATGAAATTCGACTTAAGTTTGTGATTCTTTTCTAATTTATGAATTTTTGTTTCTATTTTGTTTTGTTTTTAAAGCTAGCTAAGCTTGCTTTGGTTTATCATTGAGGTTGTTTTACTCATTTTTGCAAAACCTCACTTCCCAATAGATAATTTATTTCAAGCTATTTCTCTTTCTTCTTATTAATCCCTTTTTTCAAATCTATATGACAAAACCCAAGTGTCAAAAAATAGTGCGACTCCTTTCCAAATGAGCAAATGGAAACAAGTGACTTGGATAGTTGTCTATTTTGTCTATAAATACCAAAAATATCTCTCAAGAGTTGCATGTGACGTGCACATGTATTTTTTGTTTCTTTTTGTTTTTTTTTTTTTGGTAGAAGTTAGTGTTAAGGACCATCTAATTTTTTGTTGTCCAGAGACTACTACAACATTTCTTCTTGAACTACATTGTTAAGGACCATATAGTTCAATGTTTAAATTTTGGGGATAAAATTAAAACTTTAAGAATTAAAGTACGATGATTGATAAACATTAGGGACTATTGATATAATTAAACTTTAAAAAAAATCTTATACTTTGGGACCTCTGATACAATTAACCCTAAAAATAATTTAAAAATATCATGGTAAGCTACTTCTCTGAAAAAAAAAAAATGCTACTTCTCTAGATGAATCCCACGGTAAGAGAATAAAGTGTACATAAAAATTAAAAAGTATTATAGAAATTAAAGATGGTATAACGGACAAAATGAAATAGAAATTGAAGATGGTGTAGTGTATAAATTAAAATAATTGGAAAATTTAATGGAAACAAAATTGAAAATGAACAACAAAATGTCAAACCCTGTACTCGAATACAAGTATGAACACTAAACCCAAAAAAAATGCACAAGACAAGAAACAAATGCATGATGAAATGAAGATACATACTACCTAGTGCTGCTAGTGGTGTTTATTGCATACATGGGAATATCATCCGTGTATATAGACGTCCTGTACTTCCTCATTTCATTTATTCTCGGTGCAACCGTGAGAGGAGAGGAGAGGAGAGTTGAGTTTGGATTGACAGGGGATTTGCCATCTTAAATAATGGCAATATAATTTAAGCTAACAATGCACTTGCCATGCAACTTCCACTGTGTGTGTTTATAAACAGTGTTATAAACATTCTTGGACAACAGTGGAAGAATGTTTATAACACTGTTGTTTATATTAAACGTGACACTGACATTCGCCATCTTAAAGAATGTTTATAACACTGTTTATGTTCAACTAAAAGGGATAGACTACGTTTGAATAAACGCGAAGGTGTCCTTTTTCTCAATTGCAGGTGATAGGTGAAGGTGTCAATACACAGGGATGGTATTCTAAGACAAATTGATTTTTATCAATTTAGAAAAGTCAAATAAAGAATTTCTCTGGTTTCTTTGGCTACTTCAGCACAAGCGACCGGCGCAAAATTGCCAAGAAGTTGCATTAAATTCTCGCCACCAGGAAGTTTATCATCCGGATGGTGTAAGACATTTTCTAACTTGAGGAGCAGCAAATCACTAATAAAAGGACACTTGGCGTAAGTGGGTCCCATAATCTTTTATATGAATTACTTTCAACACTTGAGCCA